GCAAACAGGCCCAGCCAAGTTGACACACAACCTTAACTACCACAAGGATCATCACTATCTCTCTGTAAATATGTGTTTGGCTGAATCCTATGGAATTGTTAGCATTGGACCATCTGTGACAATATCGTAGGGTTCAACTACCTCACATCCCCACTGACTATTGGTGAGCACACTATGTACTGTTGCCAGGAGGAGAAGCATCCAGTTGTCAATCTTCACCTGTTCTTCACAGTGGCTGCCTGTATGGCTTTTGAGTTGGAACTCTTACCTAAAACAAATTGTGTCCCTCCTCCCTGGTGCAGACAGACACCCAGGCTTCTCCTGTTCCCTTAATATTTGCTGCCTCAGAGGGCAACCTCTCTCACTGAAGAACTCACAAAGCTTCCCAACATGAATTGGGGGTGTGCCCTGAATTTTATTTCAGGCCATCACAACCGTACCCTCCAGGTCTGATATATATATATGCATGTGTGTGTGTGTGTGTGTAATTTATATATAATCATTCTTATAATGAAATGTGCAAACACCTGGAGTTAGAAAACCAAAAGGGAAAATTTAAGCCTCGAGTTGCAATATTGAAAGATTCTAGGCAATATATTGAATGATGCAGGAAGCATCAAAAGAAGATGGAAAGAATACACAGAGACACTGTACCAAAAAGAACTGGTTGATGTTCATCCATTTCAGGAGGTGGCATATGTTCAAGAACCAATGGTATTGAAGGAAGAAGTTGAAGCTGCACTGAAGGAATTGGCGAAGAACAAGGCTCCAGGAATTGACGGACTACCCACTGAGATGTTTCAACATACAGATGCCCCACTGGAGGCACTCACTCGGTTATGCCAAGAGATCTGGAAGACAGATAACTGTGCAACTGACTGGAAGAGATCCGTATTTGTACCCATTTCAAAGAAAGGTGATCCCACAGAATGTGGAAATTATTGAACAATATCATTAATATCAAATGCAAGTAAAATCTTACTAAAGATCATTCAAAAACGGATCCAGCAGTATATTGACATAGAACTTCCAGAAGTGCAGGCTTGATTCAGAAGAGAACATAGAACAAGGAATATTAATGCTAATGTCAGATGGATCTCCGCTCAAAGCAAAAAATACCAGAAGATGTTTACTTATGTTTTATTGACTATGCAAAAGCATTTGATTGTGTGGATCATAACAAATTGTGAATAACATTGAGAAGAATGGGAATTCCAGAACACTTCATTGTATTCATGAGGAACTGGCACATACACCAGAAGGCTGTCATTCAAACAGAACAAGGGCATAGTGCATGGTTTAAAATCAAGAAGGGAGTGTGTCAGAGTTGTGTCCTTTCACCATACTTATTCAATCTATTTGCTGAGCAAATAATCTGAGAAGCTGGATTATATGAAGAAGAACGTGGCATCAGGATTAGAGGAAGAATCATTAACAACCTGTGATATGCTGACGACACAACTTTGTTTGCTGAAAGTGAGGATGACTTGAGGCACTTACTGATGAACACTGAAGAATACAGTCTGCAGTGTGGATTACATCTCAATATAAAGAAAACAAAAATCCTCACAAGTGGACCTATAAGCAGCATCACAATAAATGGAGAAAAGATTGAGGTTGTCAAAGAGTTCACAACACTTGGTTCTACAGTCTACGCCAATGGAAGCAGCAGTCAGGACATCAGACGACATATAGCACTGGCCAAGTCAGCTGCAAAGGACCTCTTTCAAGTGCTGAGGAGCAAAGATGTCTCCTTGAAGACTAAGGTGCACTGACACAAGCCATGGTATTTTCACTTGGCTCATATGTATGTGAGAGCTGGACAATGAATAAGGAAGACTGAAGAAGAATTGATGCTTTTGAGATGTGGTACTGACAAAGAATGCTAAAAGTACCATGGTCTGCTAAAAGAACCAACAGATCTTTCCTGGAGGAAGTGCAGCTGCAATGCTCCTTGGAAGCAAGAATGGACAGACTTTGTCCCTTCAGAAGAGACCATTGCCTGAAGAAGGATGTCATACTTGGTAAGGTAGAGGGTCGAAGAAGGAGGGGAAGGCCCTCAACGAGATGGACTGGCACAGTGGCTGTGGCTATGGAGTCAAGTATAGTGGGGATCACAGAACTGGCGCAGGACCAGCTGGTGTTTCGCTCTGCTGTGCCTAGGGTCGCTATGAATTGGAGGTGACTTGAGTCTTAACACTTTACAACAAGAACAACACCACCATATGATGCCTAAGAGAAGCAATCAGAAACTTTATTTTTATGAATGTGTTGTTGTTGTTGGTTGTCATCCAGTCAGTTCCCCAAATGTGCAGGGTCAAACTGCTCCATAGGGTTTTCAAGACTGGGACCTTTCAGGAGCAGATCACCGGGCCTTACTTTCAAGTTGCCTCTGCATGGGTTTGAACTCTCAACCTTTTGGCTAGTTGTCCAGGATCACCATGAGTTGGAATCAACTCAACAGCAATGGGTACCTCGTGGGACAGTGTAGAACTATCCTTAGGGTTTCTAAGGCTACAAATCTTTATGGAGACAGATTGCCACATCTTTCTCCAGCAGAGTAGCTAGTGGATTCAAATTACCAACCTTCCAGTAAGCAGCCAAGTGGTTTACCAACTGTGTTACCAGGGCTCCCTAGAAATTTCTATTATTGTTGTTGTGGTTGTTCTTGTTCTTGTTCTTGTTATGTGCCATCGAGTCAGACCCAATTCATAGTAACCCCCCCTTGGTTTTCTGAGGCAGTATCACTATGGAAGTAGATTGCCCAACCTTCCTTCTAAGGAGTGACTGGTAGGTTTGAACCGCCAGCCTTCTGGTTAGCAGTCAAGTGCCTTAGGTGCTATGCTACCAGAGCTACATACCATAAATTTATAAACATACATTTATATGTTCATCTTCCTTGAAAAAATTATCATCTTTGATCTCCTGTTTATTTTTTTCCTACATATTACAGCAATGGTTTGCAAAGTGTGGGCTCGAGGCCAGCAGCATCACTTGGATGCATTACTTGGAAACTTGTTAGAAATGCCAATATTTTGTACCACCTCAGACTTAAGGAATCAGAAACCCTGGGATGGGACCCAGAAAACTATGTTTTCACAAGGCCTCCAAGTGATTAGAGAGTGTGTCATAACCTGCTAAAGGGAATCCATTCAAGCCATCATGAAGTGTTGGTGGTTCCGTCACAGATTCTCACCTTCCATGCCAGTGCTTTTCCCAGCCACTGCATCTCATGGTCAGCCTCCACATCTCTGTCTTGTGTATTGCTGTGGTGAGAACAACTTCCAGCAGAGCTTTCAGGCTAAGACAGACTAGGGAGAAAGGCCTGGTGGTCTATTGTCAAAAATCAGTCAACAAAAACCCTATGGATCACATTAATCAACTGTCTTAGTTTCAGACTTCTGTTAACTTGTTGTTGTTGTTAGGTGCTATCGAGTCAGTTCTGACTCACAGCAACCTTACGTACAAGAGAATGTAATATCACCCCAACCTTCAGCATCCTCACAGTTGTTGCCATGTTTGAGCTCATTGTTGCGGCCGCTGTGTCAAGCCACATCATTGAGGGTCATCCTCCTCTCCACTGACCCTCTGCTTTACCAAGCTTGATGTTCTGCTCCAGGAGCTGGTCCCTCCTGATGACAAGTCCAAACCACGTGAGACAAAGTCTCTCCATCCTCGCTTCTAAGGAGCATTCTGGCTGTATTTCTTCGAGACAGATTTGTTCCTTCTTCTGGCAGTCCAGGTATATTTAATAGTCTTTGCCAACACCATAATTCAGTGGCATCCTTTCTTCTTTGGTCCTCTTTATTCATCAGCCAGATTTCACATTCATATGAGGTGATTGAAAATACCATTGATTGGATCTGGCCTGACTTAGTCCTCAAAGTAGCATCTTTGCTTTTTAACACTTCACATTGGGCAAATCTGCTGCAAAAGAACTCTTTAATATGTTAAAAAGCAAGATGTCTGCTAATGTATTAATAACTTATTTCTTTTGAAATTATCCTGTACATTTTCATGTGTTCTCTCTTAACTCCATGGCGTTCAGACACTATATATTCCTAAACTATTCTCCAACACTAAATTATCTATTTTCAAGCCACAAATCCTACACTATATGATTTTGTAATGAACATTCAAAGTATATGTTTACTACACACATTTTTTAAGGGAAAATTTAGTTTTATTTCACAATATTTTATGGTGAATCCCATTTTGACTGAGAATATATGCTTCCATCTTAACAAGTTTCTGAATTTTCATTGGGACTTAGGCCAATAGCCCAGGTTACCCCCAAGCCAATGCCAATAATCTCCTCTCTTCATCAAGCCATGAGGTAAAAGGGGGCCTTATGAAGAAGAAAAGTGTGTTTCAGGTCTGGTTGTTAATGCGGTTACTGGTGATAATTCCCACAACGGTTCTAAGTGGAGCCTAAGACTTTGAGAGTCTTGGTTACTTCTTGCAATTTGGTGAAAAATGTACTTTATTGAAAAAAATGTTCAAGTCATGTGAGAAATTTTCCATATGGAATAGATCTACATTACAGACATTTAACAACTTAAAACTACCACCCAAAAGCCTGAGCTTATTTTGGATTTTGATGCCCTGACCTTTTCCTTTTTTCTCAACAACCTTCGATTGCTATTGGCTCAACCAACAACTGGCCAAGTTCTTTTTGTTTTGTTTGCTTGCTTGCTTTTTTGTTTTTTGTTTTTTTTGGTTTTGGTTTTTGGTAGTCATCTTTGCAAATATGTATAATAAAATTAAAGACTGTTCTTGGGGGTTTTAATTTTTTTCAAAAACTTCCTGGCTATCAGAATTATAAGATTGATGTGCTTCAATTCTTCATAGTGCCAGGACACCTTTTATTGTAATTCAACTGATCATTAAAAATCAAGACCGTTTCTTAATGGCCTGAGTCTTCTGAGCAGTTCACTCACAGCTGGAAAGTGGTGAAGAAAGAACTCAGATCTTGGAGAAACTGACCTAACCTCACTATAATATGCTACTATATTTTAGGATAAAAGATCCAGCCAAATATAAGTTGCTACTGTCCCTTATGGTTTGAACTCAGTGTGTTTAACAAGGAATATGTTTCTGTTCACTCAACTCTTTTTGTGGGATGCATATATAAGGCTATTAAAAAAAAAAAAAAAAAGGACACCACAGTGTAACAATGCTTGATCATAGTTCTTAAATTCACTGTGGCTTTTTCAATGTCTCTTAATAGCTTGTCCATAAGTTTCCTATCATGATATTTTATTATATTACTTTCTGTAAGACTTGTGTGGCTATTCTGGGACTAAAGTGACTGGCATTCAGCTCAGGGTATCTTGTTCTGTTCAGACCTCATTGGTCAGGACTCAGTTATCTTCCGTGAATTAATTCAAATCCCACCTGCCATGTATCGATTTCAGGGTGGAGGTGTTGAGGCGGGATGACGTGAAGAGGCGCTCGGTGCACGTGAAGGTGCTCTTCAACAACAAGGAGGTGTCCCGGACGGTCAGTCGGCCACTAGGGGCAGACTTCCGGGTCCACTTTGGACAGATTTTCAACTTGCAAATATTCAACTGGCCCGAGAGTTTAACACTTCAGGTACACATTTTAATTATTTAAGAATGTTTTGGTCATTCCAGATGTGAGGTGGTTTTGAATCATCCATTGGCTATGCCGACATTCTGATAGATTCTCAAAAGGTAAGAGGTCAGCCTCTTCCTTAGTGCGTCTGTTTTTAAAGTCTTGGCAGAAGGAGATCTGTCACCCATTGGTCTCCTGCAAATACCCACGTGGCTACGTATGTGCCTCAAGATCAGGGAGTAGGACAGTCTTAGGTTCATTCATGGGAGAGAAAGATCTTTCAGAAAGGAATACTCCAATATCACCCTCTACCGTGGACCCTAGGTCCCTAGGTGGCAGAAATGTGTGCTTTCTTCTACTAGTGGGAACATTGGTGATTTGAGCCCATCCAGCAGCACCATGGAAGGAAGGCAGTGCAATCTGCTTCTGTAGATTACAGCCAAAAAACCCTACGGCTTTCAATGCTACTCTATAGCACGAGTCACCACGAGTCAGAATCAACTCAACGGCAGTGAGTTCGGTTTTGTTGTTGTTGATGATGTTTTTTACCATGAACTCTAGTATAGTGTAACAAAGGGATCATTTATGCCATAACCACAGGTGGTTATGATGAGGGAGAAGGTGCCAGGATCCCCTTCTCCCAAAAAATGTCCTGAACTAGCCTAAATCCCACCATTATTTGTGTCTTAGGCTTGTTGTTTCTTTGGTGAGTCCTCTGTTATGACACTAATCTTCTACTATGACACTAATACATCTGTTACTAGGGTTACAAATATGTGGCACACATGCCCCTTTTCCCATCCACCACCATGCAGAAACTTCTCATTCCTACCCACCAGCTGTGCCAGAAACCACTAATTGATCATGCCCTTTCCCCACCCCCATCCCCACTGAGCCTGGTCATAACTTCAGAATCTTTCAACACAGTGCTCCAGGAAGCCACTAGCAAGTGACTGTCACTGACATTAAGCCTGTAGGTACCATTACAACTGTATCATTTCTATTTATATACTTCTGTAGTGATTGGTAAATAGCTTCTGCCCTGAGCCACAAAATGCCACTTGGCCACACTGACCCCTCTTCCAAGATCCTCTGGACCTTCCCACCATCAACCAAGTAGTGGGTGGGATTGAGCAAGAGCACTGCTATGACCAACATCCATTTTGATTAGTTAGTACCTTTGCCATTTGTGTTGATCAACAATTTGAGTATCACCACTGCCTCAAGGTTAGTAGTTAAAATATTTCTAAAACTGGTAAAGGGAGTTTGAGATAGCTAAAATAGAAGGTTCTTGTGACAATGGAAAGGAAGTGCAGCAGAAATGGTGGAATGAGAACAGTGTGATAGGAAATGGGATGGGGACCCTAGAAATTTCAGCACTGGGCACCCAAGGGACCACCTTGCACTGGGATTCTGCCAGAGGCTGTGGCAATTCTATCTTACCCCTTGTCACCTATGACCTGGAGGATGGGTGGGATTAGGGTGTGATCCTCATTTACAAAGCACTGAGTATCACCACTCAAGCCAAATCCCTTTATTGTATGGCAACGACAGCATTGATTGATGTCAGCACAAGTGAAAAATGATTTTTTTTTTAAATTTTACAACTTGGCTTAGTTCAGTCACCCTTATCAATTTTTTAAACCTCTGTCTAATTTTAAAACAATTTATATATATATTGTGAAATCTGAAAAACATAGAACTTAATTTTGCTGCTAAATTTAAGCTTAACAATATGTGCGAGAGGAGAAAAATTATAGTTCTTTAAAGTAAAGGATGATTGTCTTATTTTCCTAGTACTGCTATAACAGAAATACCATGAGGAGTTGGAAATAACAAATAAATACATTTTCTCACAGTCAGGAGTCTAGACATCTGAATTTAGGGCACCAGAGCTAGAGAAAGCCATGGCTCAGTTTCCATACTCCCAGGTCTTATGTCCAGGGATGACATCTACCCATCCCTCATTTGTGACGCCTTCTCACTGTATCTAATCTGCTCTTTTTATATCTTAAAAGTCATGAGTATTGAGACACACCCTATGGTGTGTTGGTCTCATTAACATAATGAAGAAAACGCTACTCCCAAATGGGATCCCATCCACAGGTATAAGGGTTAGAGTCCAACACAGGTTCTTGGAGGACACAATTCAATCCATAGCAATGATACTAGGACGAGAGTAAAATTTGGAAGTTTGGAAAACCTGGGTTGACAATCACCTTTCTGAATAGCATCGGGGGGAAATAATCTATCTACAAATTTCTATTTCCTTTGCCTTGACTGTATTAACAATGACTAGATACAGAACGTCCCTGTGTAGCATACACTTTACTAACCAAAAAGTAGGAGGCCTGGAGATCTGATTACACAGAGATTGCCACCACCGGAAACCCCACGGAGCACAGGGCTACTGACACGCACGTAGTTGCCGTGATTTGGAGTCAGCTTGACAACAAAGGGCTATTTCGATTGCTTGGTTTATGGACACAGAGAGTGAAATGAAATGATTTTACCTGCCGGTTAAAGCGGGAAGCCCACCATTCTGTGTTGTGGGAGGAGAGCCGATCCAACACAGGGTGCTTGGGATCTCATCCCCACCCTGCCATCTGGCTCATAGGGTTTAGGGTCCACAGGGACTCTAGATTCGATCTCCTCTAGGAGTTCTGTAGAGACTGACTGCATGGACCATGTTGGAGGCTCCTTCTTCCCGTCATTGGAACAAAGTGACATCTGTTGGCCTGCTTACCGGATTTCACCTACTCTAACCACCCCATGGACACTCACCATTACTTTATTCCACTGAAAAAGAAAAGCACAGGGTCACTTAAACTATGAAACACATCCCAGTTTCAGATAGGTTGAAATTGGTGGTACTAACAGTGTGCCTGGCAGCTAACCAAAAGGCTGGCATTTCAAGGCCCCCAGAGATGCCTCGGAAGAAAGGCCTGACAACCTGCTTCTGAAAAATCAGCCATCGAAGACCCTATGGAGCATGGTTCTATGCAGACCCTCCACAGCAGCTGGTAGTTACGATTCCGTGCAGGAGCTTGGGGGCAGTGCCCTTCTGTTTGGCTGGCACAGTGATTTGAAACATTCATGAATGTCTCTAGGGTGACAGTGAGGAGCTTGCAGTGTGCAGGTTTTGAAGCCCCACATCTTCCTTGCTTCCCACATTACCTCTCCCGTCCTGCCCCAGGACACACTTACATAAACTAAGAGTTCAAGTCAGGCCCACTGCACCCAGGAAAATGTGTAAATTTGATTGAGAATGTAAACACAAACTGCAAAAATCAGCTTGTTGATTTCTGTCACCTATCCTTAATACAGGGTCTCTGGGTGCACAAATGGTTTTGCTCCTCTACTTGACTTGTGCTCATCTATAGAACTTGCCTTAGTTCTATAGGTTGGCAGTTCAAACCCAGCCAATGGCACAATGGAAGAAAGGGCTGGTGATCTGGTTCCATAAAGGTTACAACCTAGAAAACTCTATGGATTAGTTCTACTCTGTAACGCATGTGATCATCATGAGTGGGAATCAACTCAACACTGATGAGTTTGGGTGTTTTTTGTTCTCCCATTCTACATTTACACAGTGGCAAAGATTTCAGTCATTCACAGTTATGCCCCCTAGTTCGAGATTTGTTGTTAACGCAGCCTCCGGTTCCTCCCTTGCAGAGGAAAAGCTAACTGGAGCAAGACGAATATTAACACAAGGAGACCAGATAGAGAGCTAGAGTGATGTGAGAGGAAGACCAAGACTAACATAGAAAGGCCAGATAGAGTGTCTTACCCTGGATTCTCTACAGAAGCAAAACTGGTAAAGCTTATATATGTATATAAAGAGATTTATCTCAAGTTTATCAGCAGTAGTCAAAAAATCAGATGTCTTATTGCACTGAGCAAATCTGCTACAAAAGACCTCCCTAAAGTTTTGAAGAGCAAAGGCATCATTTTGAAGACTAAGGTGCGCCTAACCCAAGCCGTGGTATTTTCAATAGTCTCATATGCATGGGGAAGCTGGACAATGAATAAGGAAGACTGAAGAAGAGCTGATGCTTTTGAGTTGTGGTGTTGGGCAAGAATACTGAAAATACCATGGATTGTCAGAAAATCGAACAAATCTGTCCTAGAAGAAGTGCAGCCAAAATGCTCCTTGGAAGCAACACTGGCCAGACTTCATCTCACATGCTTTGGTCATGTTGTCAGGAGGGATAATTCCCTGGAGAAGGGTATCATGCTTGGTAAAGTAGAGGGTCAGTGAAAAAGGGGAAGGGCCTCAACAAGATGGATGGACACAGTGGCTGCAACTGTGGGCTCAAGCTTAGCAAGGCTTGTAAGGGTGGTGCACAGCTGGGCAGTGTTTCCTTCTGTTGTACATATGGTTACTGTGAGTCAGAGCCAAGTGGACAGCATCTAACAGTAACATCTCAAAGAAATGGCTCACAAGGTTGTAGTGGCTAGCAAGTCTCAAGGTTGTAGGTCAGATATCAGGTTGGAGGCTTTTCCTGACTCATGTGGCTTCAAGGTCTGACAACCCCAAGATCAGCATGTCAGATGGCAAGCTGCTGGCTCACAGGCTGCAGAGAATGATGAATCCAAGATAAACAGGTAAGATGGCAGGCTACTGGTTCAAGTCCAAAGAACCAAAGGTCAGATGATGATGAGCCAGATGCAGGATCCAGATCAAGCAAAAAGCCAGAGAGCTTTGCCAGGATGTCCATATGTATTGGAAGCAGGCCACACCCCCTGAGGAAACTTCCTTTCAACTGATTGGCTGCTCATAGCAGATCTCATCATGGGGGATGTCTACATCATAACTGATAAACCACTGAGAATTGGGGCCCCACCAAGGTGACACACAACCTTAACTATCACAGAAAGCTACACTGAAATGAGGGAGAGGACTCAAGGAAGGCCAAGACAACATGAGAAGAGCAATTGGAGAGCTAGAGTGAAGTGAGGGACAGAGGCAGACCATAATGGTTTGAAGGAAGGAGGTAGGTAGGAAGGAAATGGAG